CTGGCTGGCTGTTTATCTGGCTCTAACTTGGCATCGAACGCAATTAGGGGATTATCGTATCATGTTTCAAGACGGGTATATCTAGATAAAGTTCGACGTGAACCAGGCTAGTAACATCTCCAATTCACACTTTATCAGTTAATTTTAAAAGCAGACTTTGCTGATAGGTTTCAAAGGTACTGTATAGTACAGTACTGTGTACTAAAATAGTCTTCGAAAGATAAGAGAAGTTCAGACTGTGTTGCTATGTTTATTGTTCCCGTTCTGTTTTATGTTGGTTTTGGAGAGCTGTCGTATAAACATCCTTGTGATAGCTGTGAAATAATGCTTCGTGCTTTGTTCAAATTCATAGCTAATTTTTTGCAAAAGTATTTCCTGCTTTACAGCTGATAGATAATATAGTACAGAATACAATGATTACTGTACTGTACCTTAGTTTGAGAATGAGCATATTCTTATTTCTCAAGATCTCAAAGGCATCGACCTCTTTCTACAGACAGTAGCACTGCCTACAATACAGTACTGAATTTACTGTAAACTGTGATTCTCAATTAAATAATTACAAATTTTTAGTATTTGACTTTTTGCAGTCGTCTGTTCATGGTACTGTTGCACAATATGATTGCAAAATCATCATATGATGATGATGGCACCTAAGCAAGAAAATAAGATTATTGTACAATTTCTATGACAATATACCATGTGACACTGCGACACTGCATCGTTATTGAACAACTACTGTATCTACTGTACCAAGTGATGTTATGGCGGAGCAACTCCGCCCAGAGCCCCAGGGCAGTGTACAGTAGAGGTCCATGGTTATGCACTTGTATATCACATATCCACATTTGTCTCTATGCGCTATCCAGAACAACAGAATAGTAAAAAAAAAAACATGAATAAAAGTAAAAAGAAAACAACTAAAGAATGATTTAAGACGGCGCTTAAAGATCATTAAATTAGGAGACTCTTGAACAGATTGTAGAAATGAATTCCAGAGCTTGAGGCCAACAATTGAAAAGACCTGACCTTTCTCTAAAAGTCTTCAAATGACAGGTAGGCACATTAAGGGTTATAGACGTAGTGGAACTTAATGTTCTTTTACATTTAGCAGAACGGGGTGTGATCAGTTCTGAGATGGTAGTGAGGTGTAGGAATGGCACAAGGACTTAAATTTATAAAGGAGCACTTCAAAATTAATTCACTGGTTGATTGGAAGCCAGTGCAGTTTCTTAAGTGTGGGACTAATATGTTCAGAGTTAAGCTGTATTTGTAATCTTCATAGAAGGGTACAAGGCAAACCAACTAGGACACTATAACAGTGTTCAAGTTTAGAGGTAATCAGAGCATGAACAAGTTTCTCTGTGGCTGCATCATCAAGAAAATGCCTGATCTGTCTAAGGTTACGGATACTGGCATTTCATATAGTTAGATTTCTAATTCAAACGATTGCTAAGAGAGATAATAAATATCATTTTCCATATTAGGCCCTAATGTTATTGAATTTTTAAAACCTTTTGGTTTGTTTTGTCTGTAAGCTCCTACCCAGCCTAACACCCTCCCTCTCAGCAGTAGTGCTCCACCACTACAATAGCAATTGTAGTTTTTCAACCCATCAGAACCAAAGATTTTCAATTAAAACCTACAGTGTAACACAAAAACTCAATGTTATTACCCTTGTATGTAATTGTCAGTTTATAAGTAATAAACTTTCATGCTATACACAAGTAAATTATATTTGTTCTAAATCATCACAATTAATAGGTTTTATTGATAAAGTGTAGTAAAAATATGTCATGGGCTGTAATGTTAAATCTATATAAAGCATTGACTCTTCTAATTATTACTTATTGTTGTGCAATGTGGGCACCAGGTGACAAAACTAATATTAACAAAATTGAAAGCATCCAACGTAGAGCCACCAGAATAGTTATGTTTAAAAAAGATGGTGACTGGGACACACATTATGTAGATAGGCTGAAAACGCTTAACATATTAAGCATAGAAGATATTTTTAAATATCACCGGCTTGTTCTTGGTTTCAAAGTTCTTCATAATGTGTGTCCACCAACATTAACAGAGTTTGTTCATAAGAGTGAGCGTTGTGAGGGTAGGCTTATTCACTGGAAAGCCAAAAGCAATATTTTTCTTAATTCTGCTTTCGTGTCCTTTCCCAGGCTCTGGGAAGAACTACCTCCTCTACTTCAAAACTCTGTTAATGTTTCCTGTTTTATAAGAATAATTTAATTAAGCATTTTATTTCATTTTATGTTTCTGATTAGTTCTGATTGTTTTTGTGTATTCCCTATCCGGGCAATGCATGATGTTTTTCTCCTATATGCTTTTTGCCAAATAAATATTATTATTAAGGGTAGTGTTGCTCAGTAACGAGAGCAGCTTCCTGTACTGTAGCTCAGTCCGCTACCGGTGGTAGTCACTGTGTGTGCACTGAACTATGGAGATCCCCTCATATGTATCTTTGGTCGCTTGCTCATTTCCCTCCACTGATCTCTTTAAATTTAAGCTGGAAGGCTGAAATACAAGTTACGATAAAACATGCCATCTTTTGAAAGAGGCGTTTAGGCCATTCGCCTTGTGTGCAATGGCTTGTGTGCATGTTAAAGAACGCAGTACACTCTTCGGAAAAGAGTAGGAATGTTTGTCAGTGTAATACCAAATTCACGACATAAAGATCTCGCTGAAAGCAAGCTTTGAACTTACATGGGTTATTCTTACTCTTGCAGTATCCTCCTAAAAAAGCCATATTCATGTCACATGTTATTATGATATATTATTAGTGACTCAGAAATCTATTTACCTGTAAGTTTTAAATAGCGGAGCTCCTGCCAAATCACTCAAGCCTACAGTACCTCCTGTTTCTAAGACCATCTCCCATACTTTAACTTAAGTAACCTAACCAAGTGTACAATAGCACAGTAGTTTGGTATCTATTGAGAACTAGTGTTAAAAGCTGTACTATAGTTTTCCAATTCAAAGAGAAAGTACACTTTCAAACATTTTCAGTTAGAAATTTGCTATTCCACTGTCTGAAATATTTTAATTATAACTTTTAGTTTAGAGGTTTACTTAATTATTTTGGAATTCACACTCTTTTTTTATGCATGTTCACCCATAAAGCTCAAGTGCACAGTAAA